GTCTCGGATGAGATGAAGGGTGTGTGAAGAAGCTGCTTATCACATAGTAAGACCTACTAGGCATGGAAAGCAGTGTTGTTTACAGGGATCGTAGCCTTCAGTGACATCCCATGCTCATACATGTTAGTCTTAGGCACACTTTTCAAACCCAGCAGTCATCTTCTGGGTGAAGTTCGTGTCAAAAAGTTGGAGCATATGTACATATGTTGAATTTGACTCTGGAAATAGCACAGACTCCCAGCCTCTGTAGTCCATTTTTCTAGCCGTGTCCAGGTGTTCTTGCCTTGGTTGCATCTTCAGTGATTAAGCGATTAGCACCTTGTTGTTGTTGTTAGGTGTCGATTAACGATCCTGTGCACAGCAGAACAAAACACTGCACAGGCCCGAGTCCTCCTGCCAGTTGTTCCTACGTGGGAGCCCGTTGTTGCGGCCACTGTGTCCGTCCATCTCATCGAGGGCCTTCCTCATTTCGCTGCCCCTCCACTTTGCCAAGCATGATGTCCTTCTCCAGAGCCCGCTCTGCCCTGACAGTATGTCCAAAGTATGTAAGATGACATCTTGCCATCCTTGCCTCTTAGGAGCACCCGGGACTTACATCTTTCAATACAGATCGGTTTGTCCTTTCGGCAGTCCATGGTACTTTCAGTATTTCCCAGCACCACCATTCCGATGCACGGTCTTCCGTGTTCACTGTCCAGTTTTCACATGCAATGAGGTGATGGAAAATACCTAGCTCGGGTCAGGTGTACCTTAGTAACAGCTTTTAAAATTTTTATTTTAAATACAGAACGCTTCAGGAATGCTCATGTCATCCTCACGTAGGGGCCATGCTAATCTTCTCTGTATCGTTGCAGTTTTAGTGTAGGTGCTGCCGAAGGGAACACCCAAGTAACCTCTTTGCTTTTCGATAACTTGCCCCAAAAAAGGGTAAAAAATATCATGCCCAAGTAGAGAATATAAACACACAGAAGAATATGACGAGAGTAAAAATCATTTGTAGACAAAATATCAGTACTTTCTGGTATGTTTTAGGGAGCGTCTCCATGGACGTGAACTCGCTGGCATGAGGGCACTCTTTGGGCGTTGGGAGGGCTCTCAGACAGAGGCCTGGGCCGGCCTCAGTGGGGAGCACCCATAATGTAGGGTAGGGCTGGAGTTATTTATCAACCAGTTGGAGCCAGTTACATAGTTGGCTGCTAACCAAAAGGTCAGCAGTTCAAACCCACCCACTTGTTCTATAGAAGGATCTGAAGATCTGCTTCCTTAATGATGAGAGTTAAGAAAACCCACGAGGCGGTGGTACTCTGTCACACGAGATCTCTTTGAGTCAAAAATACACTTGATGGCACCCAACAGGAAGAATCCCGGGTGGCACACTGTGGGTTGTGTTGAGCGGCTAACTAAAAGGTCAGTGGTTCAGACTTACTACCCGCTCCATCAGGGAAGGATGAGGCAGTATGCTTCCATGAAGATTTACAGCCTCGGAAACCCTACGGGCAGTTCTACTCTGCCCTGTAGGGTCATTATGAGATGGAATACACCGAGATGGAGGTAGGTTTTGCTTTTTGCTTTTGTCACCCAACGATAACGGCACATCAAGGTATCTCAGTATTTTAACAACTGGTTTGATGGAACCACTGTGTTTGGGTTGAGAGTCAGCTCTGGATGTAGGGTGGCTGCCTTTGTTCAGCGTTGTAGGCACCTGGAATGTTTCAGGTGTGCATTTCCCCATGAACTTGGTGGTGATGGTAATGGAATAGTCCCTGTGTCACCCTTATCTCACCTCTGAGCACTCAGGGTCTTCCTACTACAGACCCTGCTCAGCTGACTTCCAGGGAGCTAATTAGACAAGGAAAAAAGGAGATTAAAAAAACTCACATCCAAGTGTGGTTGGCTGTCTGTGGTTGGGGTGGGAACATGGGGACCTGGGTGGTTAGCAGTTAAGTTCACCCCGGTCATTGGATGATAGATAGCAAGCAAATGTGCTGCGTGCTTTATCTTGCCTTCTGCCAACTGCTGACACTTGAGACCCTAAAGTCGGCTTCTCTTAGGACACTGTCCCCTCAGCCAACTCATTCCTGTGATCAGAAGGCGGCTTCTTATAATTCAAGTGGAGATCAGCCAGCCCAGCGCCATCATCTTTGAAGGCCAGGGAACCAAGGCACATGGTCCCAAGGCCATGCTGAACCTGGACCACACCCAGCCCTCCGCTGCTCTGGCCAAGCCTCTGCTTGTGGTTTTTTAATCCCCAGGTTGGTAACAGTGAGCATTCTGAAGCACCAGGCCACAACATCCACACAGTGAGGGCTACAGAGAGGCCACGCGTGTGCTAGAGGTTTGCCTACCTGTCATGGTGTTTTTCGTTCTCTTATGCTGGGCCACTCACCGGTTGTTGCTGCTGTTAGGGGCCCACCGAGTTCCTTCCGACACAGAGTGGCCCTGTGCCCACAGAAGCAAACACCTCCCAGCCCTGCGCCAGCCTCACAATGGTTCCGAGGCCTGAGCCCATTGTTGCAGCCACCGGGTCAATCCATCTGGTGGCGAATCCTCTTCTTTCCTTGCTGCCCCTTCCAACTTGCCCACACATGATCGCCTTCTCCAGAGATCGGCCTTTCCTGACGAAGGATGTGAGAGGAAGCCTGGCCATTCTTGCCTCTAAGGAGCATTCTGGCTGGATTTCTTCCAGGACAGACTGTTCCGTTGGCCGTCCTTGGCACTCTCAGGATTCTTTGCCAGCCCCATCACGCACATGCATCCATCCACCTGCTCCCTGGTGGAAGAGGAGTTAGCGAAGGCGCGGTTTGCCCCAGAGAGACCTGGGAGCTGTGGACGGTGGAGCCCTTGCCCTCTCTGCCTGCTTGCTTCTGGCTAGGCCAGGTTCCCAGGCCATGGGCCCCTGAGCAGAAGAGGGGCTGGCATTTTGAAGCCAGAGAACCAGAGCTCCATGACC